TATGATGGAGGCATAGGATTAGTCCACGCCCAAATGTTGATTGTCCCGAAATGATTTATCCACTAGTCAACCCCTTTGAGCCTTGTGACTTTGGGGGTCGTTTCTCGTGCTAGGAACTTGTTGTTCGTGAGCTTAATGGTGTTGATAGAACGACCCCAATCCTTTCTTCGTGTCTATACGTGCGTCATCCTTGTGTCCCAAAGCTCTCGCTTTTGAGCTCCATTGAGGTTCTGCATAGGAGGACTTTATGCAGTTCTTGCTAGGATTGAAAGTGAAAGGAAGATTAGTGTTGGAGTTAGTTCTTAAAAAGAGAGCATTGATCGTTAAAAGTACAGTGGCAAGTTGATGCGGCCGCAACAGCGGAAGGGCAGGGAAAATACCCGATGGAAGAAGCCAATACCCACCCGGGTATTTTGGCAGCAACCGGTCTTTTGGGCAGAAGGCCCCCCGGGGTGGAGGATAAATACCCGATCGGGTATTTTTAGGGATGACTGGGTATTTTAACCTGTGTGACGGGAATTTGGATTTTTAAGTTGTTTTTGTTATTTTTAATTGCCCAGACCTATATAAAGGCTGAAACTTGAGTTTTAGGGTTAGTTTTTAGCAAAATATTGACCTTGGTTTTCAGCTTAAGGCTTGAACTTTTTCTCTGTATCAATCAAGTTTTCCCGTTGCAGAACGCATAGAAAAGGAGGAATCGCTCTCTGAAGAAGAAACCCCAATTGAAGAACCAGCCATGAGAGAGCAGAGTCAGAACCTTGCAGAAGCTATGACGCTGCTTGCCGCGCAAATGACGCAGATGGGAGCATTGCTTCAGGCCCAGCAGGACGCTATCAAAGGTCAGCTGGTTGAGACAAATCAGACAGAGGTTGGATTCCCTTATCACCAGGTTGGAGACACAACCAATGGGTAATCCAATACCACCGGAGAATCCAGCAATTGTCGCAGCTCATACTGGGACCGCGAACCGAGAAGGTCCCCGAGCAGACCGAATGTACGACTTTCATCATTGTTTACCACAAGTTATCACTCACATACCATAGCAAACGTTTACAAAAACGACTTAAAAACGAAGAAGTTACCATATGGTATGTAGTTGGTAACTGGAGGTATGAAAAAAAGTTTCTCGAAATATATTGAAAATTGATATCATTTTGTAGAGCACAACGAACTCGTTTCATCTGTGCAAATTTTTTTTGAAATCTGAGTTCGAACGATGAAGATAATAGTCGATTAATAAAACTAGAAAAAATAAAATGTCTTTAATTCACAACTCTTAGATCTAGATTTTATGAATCCACTTAAATCTAAGAGCCCGTTTAGTATTGTTGCTTGTTTTTGTTGTCTGTTTTGTTTTATGAAATTTGGAAAACCAAGAAAAAAAATCGTGTTTAGTTGGGTTTTTATTTTCTGTTGTGAATCAGAGTTGCACAATAAGGCCCAAATATGAGAAACAACAATTTATTGCTTTGGATCTGATTCTTAAACATGTTGCACACGGGATTTCTACTGGTTTGGCACTTGATTTCATTAAACTAGACCAGTTTTCGAATTTCCACAGAAGCAAAAAAAAAATTCTTCTTTTTTTTAACACAGTCGCCCCCCCCCCCCCCCCCCCCCAAAAAAAAACCCTACTTCAACATATCACTTATCAGACGCCCCCAACCCATACCCTTTTCCATCTTCTTCTCGACAGAGGAGTTCCGCCCCCAACCCATCAGCCCCCCACCTCCGCAGGTCGCCCTCGCCCAGCCTCCGGCCAGCGCCGCCTCGCCTCTAACTGCCGCAGCCCGCGCAGCCGCCCAGCCCGCCGACTTCCGCCCGCGCAACCGCCGCCTCCGCCGGCCGCCGACCACTTCCCCTCCATAAACGCCTTACTCCATCTCCCCGCAGCAGGTAACTTTGACTTCTTCAAAGTATTATGTTAATCTATACTTTCTGAATATGTTCTTGAATTATGGCATGTATGTAGTGATTGCTAGATGAGTTATTTGTGAATTTGGATTGATTGCTATGTTCTTTGTTTTGTGGTTTACCTCAGTAATGGAGAAAATTGTTGAAAATGGTGATGTTGATTGTGTGGAGATTCGGAAAAATGATAATGGGGAGAGGGATGATAGCAAACTATGGGGGTGATAAAGCTGAATCTGTGTTCATTGATCTTTTGGTGGAAGAAGTTAAAAAGGGAAATCGTGTTACTTCAACCTTTTCACCAACTGGATTCGCCAATCTCATTGGTGGTTTGAAAGAGCGGTTGAAAAGAGACTATACTAAGACTCAAGTGAAGAATAAGTTTAATGGGTTAAGGGGTAGGCTCAGAGCTTTCAAGACATTGCTTAGTCATACTGAAGTGGGATATGAAGCTTCAACTGGTTTTGTTAGTGCAGAAGAACATGTTTGGGAAAGTGTTGTCAAGGTAATAAATCAATCTCTTTTCAATAATAATAATACTAATTAAAATGAATGTTAAAATCTCATTTTACTTAATTTGAGATGATTTTATTAATGAGTGTAGGGTTCAAAGTTGCATCTTAGATTCCGAAAGCATGGATGTACTGAATATGACAAGTTGTGCTACATATTTGGTGACACTACTGCTTCTGGAAATAATGCTCGTCCTTCAACCAAAGCTGCTTCTAGTAGTAATGAGGAAGAGTTGGCTGCAACCAAAAGTGTTGAGGTAACTAATCTTGACGGTGAAGAGGAAGAAATTCGTGCAACTCCTGTTGTTGAGAAGGAGGATACGAACAAAAACAAAGGCAAGGGGAAAAAAAGAAAGCGAGATAAGATTAGCTATGCTGAGTCCATAGGAACATTGTTGTCATCCATGATTGAGCGAGAGAAAATGAAAGTTGAGCGCGAGGCACACAAGATGGCTTCTTCTTCTGTGGGAGGAGGTGAAGTCTCCTCCAAGCCAAGTGATGATGGGCAACTTATGGAGTGTGTCAAGCTTTTGGATGAGATGAAAGTTAATGGTGCTTTGTTTTCATCAGCTGTGAAGTGTCTCCATGATTCTAAAGAATATCAAAATGTGTTCTTGAATGTGTCTGAAGAGAGGAGGAGTGATTTGTTGTAGCTTTGGATGTGATGGATGCTTCGGCTGTTTTGTTATGTTTAAAACTCTCTTGTTCTGTACTATTTTGTAGTGTTATCATTTGGTTTGAAGTTGGTTTGTAATGAATATTTGTATGAATGTTGGATTTGATTATGATTTGTAATGAATGTGTTGTGATGTTATTTCTATGGATGTTCATTACTTTACTTTGTCTACATAGATAAATGGCTAATTTTTCAGATTCATCATCAGACTCTGATGACGATAAATTAGTAGTAATAATGCTAGCATTGATGGAGGAGGAGAGGAGGAAGTCGTCTTCTAAAACTCCTTGTAGAACATCAGATAAAAGAGGACATGATTGGGTGCATGAGATTCTCCGTGGACATCCAATTCGAATATATGAGTAGTTATGGATGGATAAAAGGAAATTTGTTTCTCTATGTGAGGAACTAAAACGATATGGAGGGTTGGAATCAACAAAGAATGTGACAGTTGAAGAACAAGTTGCAATATTCATGAAAGCTGTTGGTACTCATGGATCACTAGAGATGGCGCAGAAAGGTTCCAACATTCCACAGCCACTATATCAAAGTACTTTGGCATAGTGTTGAAAGCAGTCAACAAAATTGCAGTAAGGCTAATTAAACCACCAGATATGGGTGTGGTTCCAGAGCAGATCATGGATAACTCAAAATTTTACCCGTATTTTAAGGTTAATTTCTTATCCTTTATTTCATATTGCACATGTTTCATATTATGATGATCTTGATATAGGTATATTGTCTTGATGATCTTGATATAGGTATATTGTCTTACAGGATGTTGTTGGTGCTATAGATGGAGTGCACATTGATGCTGTAGTTCCAACTGTTGAGCAAATCCCATATCGAGGACGAAAAGCAAAAACAACACAAAATGTTTTGTGTGTTTGTTCTTTTGATATGCTATTTACTTATGTAATAGCAGGATGGGAAGGCACTGCGAATGATGCTAGAATACTAATGGAGACAATTGCAAATCCAGATAATGATTTTCCAATGCCACCAAAAGGTATGATATCTACATTTCTTTCATTTATTAATACAATATGAGTGATAGTGAGATCTTATTAGTTTATTTTCAACATATTCATTTAGGAAAATATTATCTTGTAGACTCTGGATTTCAAAACATCCCTGGATTTCTAGCACCATTTCTTGGAGCTACCCGTCATTTTCAAGAGATGAGGCGTAGAGGCGGACCAAGAGGGCGTAAGGAATTATTCAACTTTCGGCATTCAAGTCTGCGTAATGTGATTGAGCGTTGCTTCGGAGTTTTAAAGGCAATGTTTCCGATTCTAAAGTTCATGCGGTCGTATAGCTTGAGGAAGCAAACAAGTATTGTCATTGCTTGTTGCGCCTTACATAATTTCATCAAGATTCATGCTGAAGATAATAAACTATTTCATGAATATGAAAATTATGAAGATGAAGAAGGTTCGACTTCTGGGGTTGAACTACCACTCACTGAGTTCAACGTCAACTATGCAGCAACACGTGAGATGACCGAGAAGCGGGATGCCATTGCTAACCAGTTATGGAGTGATAATCATGTTTAGTATTATTTTTTTTGTAAGGAACATGAATGATGTTAGCTATGTTGACTTTTGTGAGACTTTGCTTAATATTGAGGACATATATCTTTTTTTGGTTTTTAGTTCTTATAATAGTAACTAAACGCATTTGTATTTCTTGTTGTCAGTTTTAATGATTTTTCAGATTTATCAACTAAACAGTTCCAAATTCACTTACATAGATTGGTAATCAATAGTTAGCGAAGGTATCCCAAGCCCATTTTGAGCTAGGAGTAGGGATAAGAAAACAAGTAGATCGTTATTAAATAACGGAAATGATTTGTTAAAATAAACTCAATTTGTCAAATGCCAGCCAAAACCAGTAAACGTCTCGACATCCCATCCTTCTATTTTCATCTGGTAGCTGCCTCCCTCTCCCCTCGCAGTCTTCCATTGTCTGCCCTTCCTCCCTCCCCCGTTAATACACCACTTTCCCGGTCGACAAAGCTCTGAACCAAAACTACAGAATAAGAAAAGAAACTCCAATCCCATTCCAATCACTCGCTCAGTCACTCTGTTCCTTCTTTCTCTCCTCTTCCAACCGCTCCGCTCTTGTAAGAGCTTTTGACGATTTTTTTGGGTTCGATGAGGGCTTTTGATTCATGCCGCAATGCCTTCAATCGAGCCGCCAATCGATGCTTCGATGTCTTCCCTTGTCTAGCAGATCCCGGTATGTCCATTTTTTTTTAATTTTCTTAATACCGAACAATCTACGCCTCTGTCATTTTCCAACTCTCGGATGTGTGATTTCCAGCGAGGAGATCATCGCTGGGATTGAGGCTAGCATTGGTGTTGCTGCATCTACTCTATGCTGGAGTTCTCTTTCTCTTCGACACTGACTTGATTGATAAAACAAAGCAGCAGCCTTGGTATGTATGCCAGTCACTTTTCTTTAATCAGAATCTGTCGCCGAATTAGCCCAAATTTATGTGATTTCCGGTTTCACTTACTTGAATGCACTGCATGACTCTGCTCCCTACTCTTGGTTATGCACGTTCTGGTTTCTTTTCTGGTGCATTCGAGGTTTAGGGTGGTTTTGGAAGATCCTAGATGGGGTAAATCATGAGCTTAGTTACTTGAACTACAGTTGGTATAGGGTTTACTGCAGCTATTGTTGACCTCCTCTTATTTGCTTCTTCAGGTTTACTGCTCTGTATGGCTTGTTGTTCTTCGCAACTTTGGTTCAATATTTCGTTACGTCTAGCTCATCTCCTGGGTACGTTACATTAATTGCATCATGCTCAAACACATTGAGTAGCTAAAGTTCTGGGGTGGTTTCATTGTCCATTCTTATTAATCCAGTCTTCGTTCCCCCCTCTTTCTTTCCCCTTCTTCTTTTAGCTATGTCATTGATGCAATGAGGGACCTTAATGAGAGAAACGCAATTGCTAGGCAGGCAGCAATGATTTCAAAGTAAGTCTGTTTTTGAGCTCGTTAAGATTGGTTGAACAGATATTGATTGCAACTTAGGTTCAGTGAGGGGCTAATGGTAGGGTTTCCGGATGTCTGTTTTGACACTTGGCCTACTGATAACTACCTTTTCCGTGTTTAAGCAAAGACAGCCTGCTTCAAGTAAAAATGGAAACTTGGTTATAACCATTGATGCTACTCAGCATGGACGCCTGCTTCATGGAAGTAATATAATGCCATGGACAAAGCTGGTTTTAGATCTGTACCCCCCTGGAACGTCGGTCAGGTATGACTTTTACACTGTATGTTTATCTAACGTGGCCTCCTTTTGTTCTTCATTTGGAGATATGATATATTTACTGTTCTTAATTGGGAAGGCAGAAACAAATCGTAATTCATCACCTGGATCTGTATCAAGTAGTACCATACTCTTAATAGGCTGAGTTAAATGCTAAATTGACTATCTCAAAGAGCTAGAATTTTTAGGGTAGATTTCCAACTCTCCTGATACTCTTGGGGAACCATGTAATTCTCCTGCTGATTTACACTTTTAGATTTTGAATCATGCTGTTCGTTGTTAGGTTTTAAGTGATATTCTTTCTTTTGGCAACTGATACAGTGGTTGTGTGACGTGAGTGTTAGCAATACTGTAACTTCATCTAATGCCAATAGACTTTGATAAAAACTCTGTTTATTCTGCTCTATGCAGAAACTGCACTTGTTCCTATTGCAATGTTGAGCAGGTAATTATTGGACATCTTGGCATAGTCTTCTGTTATTTTTGTGGGAATTTAAATCTGTTTTCGCTGTTGTCACCTTTTCGTTACATACCATTTCCAATGTAAATGCAGCCTCCTCGAGCAAAGCATTGTCATGATTGTGATAAATGCGTTCTCCAGTTTGATCATCACTGTGTTTGGCTTGGAACATGCATTGGCCAGGGAAATCATTGTCGGTTCTGGTAAGCTGTCATATCTTTTCATTTCCCTATAGGGTTGTGATGCGTAGTCTGTGAATGAAATGATGATCAGTCACTCCGTGAAGTTTTGTATGTTCTAGTTGTTGGTTGAGCAGCACCAGAAAGTTCAGTTTCTTGTTTTGCTAAGTTACTCGGTCTTTTGATGGCTGCCGTTCTAAGTCAGTTATATTTCCATGAAGTGCTTTACTTGTTTTTCTTTGATCCTTGCTTATATCGCCTGTGCCATATATTCTCACTGAGCTATCTTCTAATTATATGTAATATAATACATCAGGTGGTACATCTGTGGGGAAACAGCATTGTGTCTGTGGACTGGCATCTTGTATATCACCTATTTAAAGTCTAACATCTCGAGGTTTTGGTATGATTACTTGTTGAGAGCTTGTCTCTACTTGTTGGACTTCGTTTTTCAATGGATTTAAACTATTTTCTAATTGACACACCATTATGTCTAGGTGGAAGGATGCCATCACGATACTGCTGGTGATTACTTTGTCAATCTTCTTATTATTTCTGCTTCTCCTCCTGCTTTTCCATAGGTAAGTAAATTATGGCTTTCTCCCCACAAATAGCTGGTACTGTGTTTGTTGCATTATACTATCACGCAGCTCTCTTGAAAACTAATGTCTTTCACCTCTGGCCATAAATTTTCCACCATTTATTACAGTAAACTTCCTTCTACTTCCTGAAAAAGTGAAGGATAAAAGTTTATATTGCTGCAGAAAGTACCTTTCTTGAAAATTAACCTTTTGGAAGCATTAAGACAATGCACTAACACTTGTTTCTGGTACAGCTATCTTATTCTTACCAACCAGACCACCTTTGAATTAGTAAGACGCAGGCGGATCCCATATTTGAGGTATGTTTGTACTACAACACACTCTTTTGGCTAAGACCAACCTTCCCTAAACAATAATTTGGGCTACCGTGTAAAGCTGCATACTTGCTTCAGGTCCTGACCACTTTTTACAACCTGCTCTTGGTGATCTACAGGGGTATTCCTGAAAGAGTGTATCCCTTCAGTAAGGGAGTCTGCAGCAACTTGTATGGTTTTTGTTGTGCTCCTAGAAGCCTATACAGTTTGGAAAGGATGCCCTCGAGGGTGGAAATGGAAGAGAAGTCAAGACCTTACACGTGCTTGGATATTTTGACTTGCCGTTGCTGCTAAGAGTTTTGTTTCATTGTAGATTTACTTGTGTGCAGAGTATTCACAATAGAGTCCATAGGAAGACAGTTTGTTCACCAATCAATCCATTTGTCTCCTCTTTGGAAAAGAACGACACTTGCCAGGTTTCAGTTTGCCGCTTCTTTAGGAGGATCTGCAGTTAGGGGATAAGGCAATTGTGTTCTTGACTTAAGTAATGTTGTTTGTACTCTGGGATAAATCTCAGCAAGTCTGCTACGTCATGTGTGTAATTTGTATGCTAACGAGGATGAAAGAAACTGTTGTATCACTGTGGCCTGTGGGTGTTATGTAACCCATTAGAGCGAAGCTGTAACTATTTGCAAAGCAAGGGATGCAAAGCAGTTGCGGCCAGAATGGAGATGGAATACCCAATCACTTTATGATTCGAAGCACCAGTTAAGTATGTTGGTTTTCTTCCTGTCGTACACAGCTAATAGCGCAATGCACATACGAAAGAGTTCCTCGGAAAATATAGCACGAACCAACTCAGCAAGTCGTGTAATACAAATGATTGCATATCTGGTATGGATATTACAGAGATTTAAGTCATGATGTATACAATATAGAATAATTTCCATGCATGAAGCAAAAAGGACTTGTGCAAAATGAGGTCAGAAGGCTGTCTAAGCTTTTGGTTTGCGATACTTGAGAGCTTCAAAGCGAGCAGCAAGTTGATCATAGTCTGGCAATTTAGGATGATGAACTGCAGGGACAGGTGGTGGAAGACGCACAGGAGGAGGCGGACAACCAGCAGCAGCACCACCACTTGGACTTGGGTTTTCCATTTCAATCTCTTCGTCACAGTCAGATTCATCAAACAGAATGTTAGAATCCCGAGAGGAGCATCGCTGGTCATGATCGTGTGTGCCACCGTGGACATTTCGGTCATCCTCCTGCACTGCCATCATCCCATTGTAGCTGTGTCTTCTTGTATAGGGAAGATGATCACCGTCAACCATCTTTGTTGCTGGCGGTGGCGCATCATTGTAGCTGTACCTCCTGAAACCTTCATTGCCTGGACAGTCGGAAGACCCACTGAAGTTCTGATGATAGTCATCCTTCATTCCTGGACTGGTATCAGACCGATTCCTCTCCCTGTCAGCTAAGTAAGCCGCAGCTTGTGCAGCTGCAATTGCTTGCTTTGCGGATTCTGCAGCTGCATCAGCGGCAGTTGCAGCATCTCCAAAATAAGCATCACCAGGTTGGCCTTCATTAGTTGATCTGTGAAAGATGATAAATGGCACAGGTGTTGATACGGGAAACGTTACTACTTAGAGCCTCTTGGTGTGACAACTGACGGTGACAAGAGAAAAATAACTAACCTGGTGGTGGTTCGTTTATGTGGGTCAACAGAGTTACTCGGCTGTAGCTTAACTGGGAAGCTGGAAGCACTGGCAAAAGTGGAAGGTCCATCCTGATTAAGCAGAAAGAAGCGCAAAGAATTAGTTAGCAGCTGGAAAGAGATTGACAGAGAAGACATAATAAAAGAATGGAGTTACTAACTATGAGTTCTTCTGGGGGCTTGAGGAGCTCCTTCTCAGACTCTGCTGTATCCCAATCCACCTGATACTCTTTGGCAATCTCTTTCATGACTTTGAGCTTCACTTCACCGCTGGGAGGTCTGACAGAGAGCTTGTCGATTAACTGCGAAGAAAAAGCAGCTAGTTTGGAGTTCCCTGGCCAGGGGAAGGAGCGAGGGTGGTGATTGGTAAATGTAGACAAGAGATTACCATGCGATTAACCCCACAATCTGGTCTCAAATCCGTTGCAGCATTCACAAAATCAGTCCCATACTTTTTCTGAAAAATGTCTTTCAATGCGACTAGTTCTGGGATCTCAGAGCACCTTGGGGCAGCAAACATCAAACTGGCAATTCCTTCTTTCAGGTCTGCTGGACAATCCCTGGGAACAACGAGTCAATGGGCATGGCAGAAGCACTTGAGAATGAACTCACGGGTTGAAAGGGTTTCTGCAGACTTTAAAACCCTATGCGGTATTTGAGTGGAGGACGCACCTTTGCTTTGAGATGATTGAAAGTCTGGACACTAGTAGCTCACAGAACAACTCAATGAACTCATTTGCAGCCAAAACATTCTGCTCATGGATCACATGCTCAACCTATACAAACACGCCCGTGTTATGTTAATCTACAAACCAACCAAAATGATTACAGAAAATCATCGAATCCCAGTGTAAGCATCGGCGAATGAAGTGGAGTGGAAGGTAAACATTACCCGGATACGAGCAGTAGCATCCTGGCCAGACTGAAGAAGCAAAGCGACGTCTCTTCGCATCTGCCGCACCACCGTCTGTCTCTTGTTCCTTAGCAGCTTTATCCTCGCCACCGTCATCTTCGCCGCCATTTTACTGCTCCAAGAACACAAAAGCACGCCCATCACACTCCGTGGTTTGGTAAGAGGGAGAATAGAAACAAGGACCAACCACAAGAGGGTTTCAGGAGAGGAATGTGGAACGTACCATTTGGAGGAGTTGAAGCGAGGCCAGAAGATAGAGAGGGTGAACTTCATCAACTTCTTGGAGGAGGAAACGGCGGCACTGGCGGCGGTCATGGCGGTGGTCGGAGTTGTTGAATTTCCTCAAAAGTATTGGTAAAGCGAGGAAGAGAGAGAGAGAGAGGGGAAAACAAACATGGCCGTTTGCCTTTTTAGGTGAAGGGGGCGAAGTAAGCGCTTAACGGGCGGGCTGATTGGGAAAGAGAATAAGAATGAATCATTTCTTTCTCGATTCAGATCGGACGGTTGATATGGAACGCGAGGAGGGCCGACTTGACATTTGGGGCGGTGGAGCGATCTAGTGGATTACAGTACAAAATATAGCCGTTATGTATTGCAGTCTAGGATGGACTGGGCCCGTCATGTTGAAAAGGAAAGTTTGGGCCCTATGAACTCTAAAGCTGGGATTTCAGCCCAACCCAGTCCTCCACTCACTGGTGATGGTGGGCCTCAATTGCAACCGACCCGTTGACCCGCTACGAACCCGCCCGAAAAATAGAAGTTTTTATAATCCGAAATCTGAATGACCCGAACTCGATTAACCCGTGATTTTTTTGGGTTGCAGTGGGTGGGTTAGCGAGTCGGCCCGTTCCATTTCATATGTCACTTCTAAAATGATAAAATCACTTATAAATTGGTGAGATGTTTAAAGAAATCATAAGGATTTGAAATACTGTTTGGAGTTTAAAGATAATCAAATATCATGTATTTCTTGTAGTAGTATTACTCTTATGATTTTTTTTTTTTTGACGATTTGTGCAATTTGTATTTCATTTCATTAGCATGGGAGGATTTGAGAATATTTTAATTGACATATGTGAGGTAAATTATTGTGTGAAGTTTTTTTTTTTTTTTTTTGCTATAAAAAAATATGAAGCATGTTTGATATCATTTCTGAGAGCGCTCATAACCCGAAACGACTTTAACCCAACCCGAAACTTGATGAGTTTGGTCAATATTTAACCTGAAATTAACCAACCCAATATGACGCGAGACCCCAACCCAAAATTACCCAACCGACCTGATTGCCATGTCTAATTGCTGCTGCCATGCAATGAAAATTGTAGAGATTGTCCGCACCGAGGTCGGATAAGCTCATAAAATAAACCAAGTTTCATGGTCATGTGGTGTTCCTCATATGTTGTGTTGTGTGTTTATGTTTGTTTTTCCATGCAAATGCAGCAATATGTTGACTGTAGGGTAATTAGTTTGACTATTTTTCTCGATAGACTTGGGTATAACAACATACATGACAAAGTAGCGCAAGTTGTACGTGTCCAAAATCATGGTGATGGGATGCTCTAAGAAATTATTAAAATCACTCCCAAACACCATACAAATTTCATAGGTACATTGGTTGAAGTGTACAATCTGATCTCTCATATTATCGGTTATATATAGAGAAAAGAATACTTATATGAAAGGTTGGACGAGATCGTCCCGCGTCTGAAAAATATCAAGATTCAGGACATTGGTGAATTAGTAAGCTCTTTGCTTCCTCCCATATGGAGAAAGGAAAGAGGCGTAACCTGATTGCATCTAGCTCAACACCCGGATGTTTTGCAGAATCACATGTCTCTAGACACACTTTAAAGTACTCGACAAGATTTTCGTTATCCTATCCCTCAAAACGTGCAACATTTTGGGCGTATGAATAGTGGAGTCCGTAACTCAAAATTTGGAATAGTTATTGGGGAACAATGCTAGAAGAAATATTCGCATCTTGATGGTGTACTCATAGAGAGTTCATTTGGCCATACCTCTTGGAGTTTTTGGTTCATAAGGGGGTTTATTGCTTTCCGCTTTTAAACATATGTCAAAATGATGGTTAAGACAAAGTGTCGTGAGTTGCCATTCCTTAAAAGCTCTCTTTCTAGCTCGTGGTGAACTTGCTTTCGAAGAATCAAAGATACCACTACGATAAACATGACCTTGGAAACCATTTTGAGATTAAGTTTGTTTGTTCTGCACCTAGTTTGTGTTAGGCTCATACACAAAAAGTTGTTCTACAAAAATTGTCAAACAACGAGATAATGTAAAAAATATGCTCCCTGACTATTGATTGGCATATTGTATAAGATTTGTACAAATAGGACTTAGATTTTATTCTTTAAGGGTTAGAGTATAGTATCATGTTTCAAACTCTGGTTAATTCAAGGTCTAGATATTGTTTTCTTACTTGGTGTATGTGGTACACTAAGTTGTACCCGGTGTACGATAGAATTATATATATATACTGGTATGCTCCAGGAGCATAGTATGCTCCAGATGATCTTACCGTTAGATTTACTTGGATTAGCTCCGGCCAATCTCAACGGTCAACTCTTCTTTTCTCTTAAATTGAACTTTGGGTTTGGAATTAGAAAATCGGGGCTTATGGTTTATCCATTTGAGGTTAGGGTATAGTATCATACCCTAAACTCGGTTTAATTCATGGTCTAGATAGAGATATCTCACTATGAGTGCATGGAGCATAGTATGCTCCAGGAGCACACGAGTCTGACCCATATATGTATATATATGGGTTAGACCAGTCGTCTCCATATATATATGATTTAGTCTTTAGTGCACTCACTTTTTTGGATGCATTCAATGCACTCGTCTCATAATCGTCATTATAAGTAGGCGATTATTGTCAAAACGATGTTAATTGTCACTTGTTATATAAGGGAAAGGAAACTCGATGAATTTACTAAAAAATCATTCAAAATTTACTTGGATTTGAAGGATTTAGAGTTTAGAGATTTAGGGTTTGGGTTCACAATTTGGAGTTTATGGTTGATGTTTAAAATTGAAGGTTTAGGGATTAGGGTAATGGCGACCAATCTCAATGGTCAATTATTGTTTTCTCTTAAATTGAACTTTGGGTTTGGGTTTAGTGAATTGGGGCCTAGGGTTTATCCATTAGAGGTTAGGGTATAGTATCCTGCCCCATTCATTGTCTAGATAGATATCTCACTATGAGTACCAGGAGCATACGACTCTGACCAATATATATATATATATGGAGCATAACATGCTCCAGATTATCTAACCATTAGATTTACATTGATCAGCTTCGACCAATCTCAACGGTCAACTCTCATTTTCTCTTATATTGAACTTCGGGTTTAGGATTAGAAAATCGGGGCCTGAGGTTTATCCATTAGAGGTTAGGGTATAGTATTATACCCCAAACTCAGTTTAATTTTTGGTCTAGATAGATATATTTCACTATGAGTACATGGAGCATAGTATGCTCTAGGAGCACACGAGTCTAACCCCTAGCCGGTTGCCTGCTTCCATCTCCTTCTATACGACCATCAACCTTCCTTCTTCCTTTTTCTTCTTCCATATCTCTCCCAATTGATCCCGACTTCCCCGAAGATTTCTCCCTTACGTCGCCATCAGCGGCGGATCCAGAACACAGAAGAGCACTGGGCCGCATTTTATTAGAAAATTAGAATCGTAAAAAAATATAATGATTATAGTTTTTTGCAATGTAAATTGTACACGACTGTATTTTAATTTAGGGAATGCATCAATAATGGAGCCTACATCCATACCAATAGTATACACTATTTCAAATAAAATACTTGAGCAATCGACGAGAAATTCATCGCTTATTTTTTTGAGCAAATCAGTTATCACATGTTTCATTGTTGAAAATGTTCTCTTCGTAGTAGCTGTTGAAACGAGCAATCGACGAGAAATTCATCGCTCATTTTTTTGAGCAAATCAGTTATCACATTTTTTTAGACGCATAATCTTTGGGGCTAAAATTTCTAGGCTAAATTTAGAGTAGTGATTTGAATATGTCCAACTTGATAATTTTTCTAGTTAAACCCAATCTTAACATAGAATAACACTGACTCGAATGTCTAAAATCAAAAATTTCATAAGGACTATAGTAACTATGGATCCAGAGGAGGGCTGGGCCGGGGCCTGGGGTGGCCACCCCTGGATCCGCCAGTGGTCGCCATAAACACGCCTTCTTTCCGGCAAATCGAGGGGCAGAATCTGTTCATCGCTCCATCTTTGCTCATGTACGTTAAATCAAAGGCCCCCTTGATCAATTTCACCCCTCCAACCCTTCTTCCTTTCTAATATGTCCTCTATCTTCTTCCTTTTTACCTCCGCCGATGACGGCGAGCAATAACAAGGACGATTTTGGAGAAGTCCAATCATCGTCGAAATTTAACCTTCTCTAGTCCCTACATCATCCCTTCCAAATCGCTAAGCCTTCCTTGTCTCATCATCTTACGCCTTTGACCTTCCTAGTCGACATGCAAGCCTCCTGCCGGTGATGACGAGTTCAATGAGTGTTGCCGTTGCTTCCTCAGTAGGAATGGCAATGGGTAGGTCTGGGGCGGGTATCATGCTACCCATATCCGCCCGTGGGAGGTTGGGTCCAGGTCGGGTAATTTATCACGGGTCGCGGGTCTGGGCAGGTCGACCCAATGGGTATGCTATTTAAATGGAAAACATTAGAAATATTCGTTCATTTCATTATAAGAATAAGAAAACAAACCATATTATGATAAATGTACTTATATTATTGAAGAAATTGAGGTTTTCACTAATTTACAACTTTGTTATAGCTTAAATTTGATGTAATAAAAGGAAAATCCTGAGTAATTTGAATAAGATTACATGTAATTTAGGTAAGGATAGGTCGAGAATGCGATGGGTTAGAGCAGGTCAGATCGATGAGAGTACCCATGCCCGTCCCACCCCGCCTATGGGGCGGGTCGGACTCACCCCAAAACAGGCCAAACGGGTCGGGTAAAACGGACCAAGTCAAAATTGCCATCCCTATTCGTCGGTGTTCTTTGCTGCTGAGGATTTCGAATCGACTGCCGATGATAATTAGCAGTGAAGTCCGCGTGAATTGTTTGGAGCTGAAGATAGGGATGCTTTTGGGTTGGGCGACTGACGTGTATCTAGAATTCGCCAAGCAAGCCATCGCACCTTGCTCTGAACCAGTCCCAGATGTGTGCAATTTCTGGCGGGGGAGATCGCAATTTCTTGTTCAAGAAGACAGAATTTGGAAGAGGAAAGGGGCAAGAAGAAAAGACCCAACATAGAAGATGGGTTAGGAATTTGGCTAAAATTCTAATTTTAATTTTTTATTAAAATCTCTCATCTATTGCCAAACACGTTATTTTCGCAAAATCCTACACTTAAAATACCAGGTTTTTAATGTGAGATTTGAGACTCAAATCACTAGTTTTAAAATCCTCAAATCACTAGTTTTTCCTTATGACTTGATCGTTAGAGGTTAAATCCAAATTTCAAACTTGGTCTTCTCTGCTGTTATGCAAATGAAATGAACGACCATCACTTACAAGGAAAAACTTATTCTCTCCACTTCAACCCTTATATTCTCTAATACGTGACTTCGAATGCAAATTTATTACTTCGAGTCCCCAACCCTATATGATCCTAAGACCTTGGCTAGAATATCCTCTAAGAGCAATTGGAGTCGTTTTTTGCTTTGACTTATGAGCCTCAACTCTCACAATAATATAATGAATCATCTAAATTGATTTGAGATGTAGTGCTAGTTAGTGGAGTGCGTGAACACAAAAACATCTATATTCGGTTTTTATTTATATATTGATGTGCATTATTATGGTGGGAAGCCATATGATCGATACATGTACATCATCTCACCTTACCGGAACCCAGGGGTAGAGCTACCTTAGGTTTCAAGGCCAAATTTTGAGAATCATGTATAATTTTTCTATGAGTTTTGAAAATTACATATAAACTAAAGCAGGAGATAAATTTAAAAGTGTGCATTTCATAAACAAAGCCATTACTTTAGCTCAGTGAAAAAACTGTCACTCTATTGACCATTTGTCATTGGTTAATACCTAATAGTAGTAACGTTAGTTCTTTTTTACTTATCATATTTAATTTTTTCATAAAGTTAATTTGGTCGTTTAACTTTCATATTATAGTTTGGCAAAATACATTTTGGCGAAATACCACTAATAGCCACTTTTGAAAGATGTTGTGTGTCAGATATAGCTATTTCCGTTAGAAACTATAACGGTGTTGATAACACCATCAACTTATTTGACGGTCGTCTGACGAGGCGCCAATTCAGCGGACACGTCAGCGACAACCAAGCAAATAGTTACACGTCAGCTTAATAATTTTTTGTAAATCAATCTAAAAAATTAACCCTTTTATTCCCACCTGCTTGATTCGCACGAGCCTTCCTTCTTCCCCATCTCTTGCCAGAAAACGAAATTAGGGTTCTTCCCAAATTTCCTCTTCCACACGCAATTATTACAAAAAAATAATATCGAGAAATTGGTATCTCTCCGTTATCCTTCTTTTCGCCTTCCCACCTTCATTTCCTCTTCTTCGAAATCCCAATTGACAAACCCATTCAAACAAAAAATCCAAAAAAAATCCCCATGTCGTCGACTGTGCTTTACTCAGAAGGACAATCCATTTCTTCTCCCTAGGCCGATTTTTGTTTTTAGCTTGAGAGGAGGAGGATGCGACGAGATTTGGTCAGGATACAGATCCAACTAGTGACCCGACAACCAGATCCGGTCTCAACATCCAAAGTGCTAGAGTAGGCGCCGTTGAAAGAGGGGATTTTGGCGGCGACAGCGAGACCCTAGAACCGGCAGCAACGTAAAATTGGAATAGAATCGAGCTCCAGAAGACATTGGAGGAGAATCGAGCGCCAGGCAGAGGCTCCTTCTCTTCTGTCGGCACCCCCACTGGGTCGACGACTTAAAACAGTTTTGCTGGCTAGAAGGTCGCCGCCACCAACCGTCATGGAAAGCCTCTTGAAGAACAACGTAAAACAGCATCTCCACGAATCGAAATGGTGGTGGTGGTATCAGATTGATTTGGGGAATGAAAGGTTTCAAATGGTGGTGGTGGTATCGTCGATTGAAGCTAGGTGGGGATTAATGGGTAGGGATTGATTTTTATTTGGGCTAGGGAGGTCGTGGAGGTTTGCAGAAGGAAGCTTCTGTTTTTATTATTCGTTAAGGATTGATGAAGGGGAGGTGAACAGGCGGTGGTGGTGATGGAGAGAAATATATTCTTGTTTTTTATTTTTATAATTTTTTATTTAATTGTAAAAGGATAAATTTTGTTTATTTTCCACTTACATTATTTTTGAATAAAATATGCCACGCCAACCGCTGATGTTAGTCTAGTCAGCACGTTAACTTACACCGTTAAAGAATTGGACGAAAGTGGCTATTTTTGGTATTCGCCAAAAGTGGCTATATTTGGCCAAACCGTCAAAGTTTTGACTACACAAGTGTATTTTGCCTTATAGTTTTATCAATACTGCATATTCAAATTATGTTAATTTGGTCACTTAATTGTCATACTTCAATTTGTAAATCTTTCAAATTAAACTATGTCACGATTGTTTACTTCAATTTGTAAATTTTTTAAATTCAAACTATAACGAATCAATTCTTCAGTTCTTGTATTATGAATAAATTTGAATGTATATAATGAATGAAGGACACAGCTGATATGCTCCAGATGATCTGACCGTTAGATTTACATGGATTAGCTCCGACCAATCTCAACGGTCAATTCTTCTTTTCTCTTAAATTGAACTTTGGGTTTGAGATTAGAAAATTGGGGCATGGGGTTTATTCATTTGAGGTTAGGGTATAGTATCATACCCCAAATTTCGGTTTAATTCATGGTCTAGATAGAGATATCTCACTATGAGTACATGGAGCATAGTATGCTCCAGGAGCACACGAATCTGACCCAATGAATGAAGTATTTTAATTTTCTATAGAAAGTCAATTTACTTCATAGTTTTTCATACATTTTTTTTTACTTCATAGTTTAGCTTTTCATAGTTTAGCTTCTCATATCCTTACTTCCAAACTAAATCAATTGGGGTCATTTTAAAGTTGTGATTGTTCAATACATGTATTGTTGTGAATGCATGTATAATATTATACATGTATTGTCGAATTTGATGCATTGTAGAATACAACGTCATTTGGTATGTGTGATTGTGTATGTCACATCAGCTAAAAGCTGAGACATAACAATCTCAACTCAACTATCTCAACTAAAAGTTGAGATATAACAATCACTCATTTTGAGTGATAATTTCTGTCACTTCAAATAAATTGTTTCTGCTAAAAAATAAAAAATATGATGCATTCTAAACAATACATGTATAATAACAATCTCAACAAAAACAATCACAACTTTCAAATGACCCCTTAGTTCTTCAAAGTTAAAAGTTCATATTTTCTTAAGTAAATTTGGATATAATAAATATTTTTTTAAATACTAATATTGACAAACATTCACATTTCACTTACGAAAATATTGAGTAAGATGCTAATCTACTCGTTTTATATAGAACATATCAAGGTAAATTTTCTTACTTATGATTGTATTTAGAGAAATTCTAATTATCAAAATCCAACGTCTTGCACAATTCTTTTTCTTTCTATGATTATAAATTGAAAAAATATGTCTCCCGATTCCAAATCTTGGCTCTGTCCTTGCCAGCACCACCAACCTTCGCCTCATGGTCGTTTATTTGAATTTTGATTGAAAAGTAGAATACAGAAGAACAAGAAGAAAGAGTAAAACCAGGATAGAAAAAGAATTCATAGCACACGAGATATATATTACAAAGAAGAAACCATCATGAAAGGTGAAAGAAAAGTGATCTATCGATCAATCATTTGATGATAATGTGAATGTAACACAACAAGGATGTCCTCAATTACAATTGAAAATCAAGATGGTGATCAGATCAGATCAGATCAGATCAGATGGAAACAAATGAATGAATGATTCCAAGGATAACCATCAAATCGTCATCACCGTAAATAGTAATTGATACAAAGGAGGGATCACTAACGCTCTTCAAAAGTAAAGCAAAACCATCTCTTGGTTGTTTTACCGTGAGCTTTACGGTCGTCGCCACGCCTTTTATCAGCGGCAGCGGCGGCCGATCCTCCCCCTCCTCCGCCGGAAGCACCATTCTTCTTTTCATCCCTGGCCTTGGTGAATATCACAGTGAAACCTTCCGCCGTCGTTGGATCGTTTACGTCCCACTCCCCGAATTTTGGAAGAGCCCTCCCCTTCTCCTCCGACATTGCCATGATCGACGATTAATTTCTTCTTTTATATATATGGTGCTCAATCTTCGATCTGGGTCTATCGGGGAGGGGAGGAGGAGAAAGACAAGGAGAGAGAACACGACAAAATGAATCCTTCAAGTATATATACAACAATAATATAAACTCCTCTGTCATTTTTTTTTCTTTCCATTTTTCTTTATTTTACTTAATTAAGAATAGTGGACGGTGGGCATGGGTTTGTGGGAAGGAGACATAGTTTGTTTCCCGCTTTTTCAGGTGGCAGCTGAAATAATAACCAGTGTTATTAAAGCCGAGCCGAGTCGCTCGGCCCGACCGGTAAAACCTCCACCCGGTCATAAAATCGGCTCGAAACAGTCTAAAAACCGTTCCGGTTTTATGTAGCGGTTGGCGAGCGGCCGAGGTGGTTAGCCATTCGAGCCGATCGAGCCGCTCATCCGGTTTTTGCCATTCAGCCACTAAATTTAATTAAAAAAATTGTAGAAAATTGAAAATTGAAAAAAAACCAAAAACGTCGGGCTCTCAAATTGAATCCTTATTTCCATTTCACAATTTCGAAGGAAAGAGATGAGCTCTGATTAAGAAATGTCCACTATTTATACTGATAACGTTTATTAGGTACCGGTTCTCTAACGGTTTTTAAACGGTCTAATGCCTGTTGGACCACTAAAGTGCGAGTCGTTCGCATTATCGGATCATGCTCCGGTTCGGTTCTGACAACATTGATAATAACTGAAGCACAATTGCAAATTTCTATTACTTTGCTCCGCCTCATTTTCATATAAGACTAATTTGGTGGTCCAATGACTATGTTATCTCCATATTTGAACTCAATTTTATTATATTATATAACGCAACTTCATGAATGGTCATGTTTAATCTCTCCGACTAGGAAAAAAAAACTTTCTAAAAGGAGTTGATATTGGGCGGCTTGGAGGTCCTTATGTTTACGCAAGCATGATGGTGGGCTTGGCCTTTTAGAGATTTGAGGGGTTCAATCAGACTCTCCTGGCTAAGATTGTGTGGGATATTTAGAAGGAGTTGGAGTCTCTTTTGTATCCTCTATACTTGGAGGCGAAATGAAGGACTTTGCCATCTTTGGGTTGGCAAGGGTTGCTTAGGCGACGTGATTAACTCAAGACCTCCTGTGGCAGATTGGATCGGGGATCAGAGGTGGATTTTCTTAAGGATAACTGGCTTCCAACATTACATCCAGACCACCTTCGACCTTGGTACGGGATTGTTCGGGTGGGTTCTGCATAGAGGTGGCAAATGGATTGGATTGGTGGATTGATGGATTGGATTGGTGGATACATGGATCAAATGGATTGGATCTAATGGATTGATGGATTCATGGATTGGATCAAGTGGATTGGTGGATTATCCATGAATCCAAATGACATCCTCAACCAAGGACCAATATGTAAAATGTAAAAAGTTTAGGTACTAAAATGTCATAATGAAAATTTTTAGGTACCAAAATGTAATTTTCCAATGATATTTTTTGTATAAAAAATTACATTTTAGGTACCAAAATGTAAAAAATAAAAATTATAGGTACTAAATCGTAATTTGCCAATGATCCATGGATCAAATCCATGAATCCACTAATCCAATTGGATTTGGATTAAATGGATTGGATTTAAATAGGCCTGTCGGTTCGGTTCGGGTCGGGTAACCGAACCCGAAAACCATGAAAAACTGAAAACCCGAACCCGAGCCACACAACCCGAAACCGAAACCGAACTGTGCTTTGTGGGTTTTCGGTTTCATAAACCCGAAACCCGATAGAGAACCCTCCTCGGAGACTCCTACCTCCGCAACGGAGTCGTCGGCCTCACCCGCGACGTCACCTTCCCGACCTCGAGCGCCGGCACCGTCATATACAACGACTCGATTCCCTTCTCCGACCTGGAATCCGCTCCGCCGTCCGCCGCTTCATTCTCCACGAGATTCACCTTCTCTATCGGGAACGTCAACCCGAGCTCCTTCGGCGACGACCTCGCCTTCTTCCTGTCCCGCGACAACAAGACCCTCGGCAGCCCCGGCGGCTACCTCGGCCTGGTCAACGCCTCCCGGTTGACCAAGAACAAGTTCGTCGCCGTCGAGTTCGACACCCGAGTCGATTCCCATTTCGGCGGCCCGAGCGAGAACCACGTCGGGTTCGACATCAACAGCCTGATTTCGATCAAGACGGCGGATCCTCTTTCACAGGGGATCAATTTGAAGAGCGGCGAGCAAATCACTTTAGCATTCCCTCCTTTCTCTGGGCTTCTCAATAATTACGATGACATGCAGTTCTGAAGAACAAAGCCCCAATAAGAAAACAAGGAGATAAAGACAGAAAATTCAGATCTGGGAAATCAAATAGAAAGTCGGCAACTTTACTTACCTCTCTCTCATTGCACATTGGAATCTGGACAAGAACCATTGGGAAACTAGAAGGTTACTCGACATCGTAATCGTCGCCGTTAATTTGGGGCTTCAATTTCTTGAATTTGATCCAGAAGCAGCCAAGGCAGAGCACGAGCCGATCCAGAGACTGAATCAAGAACAAGACGATGCAGAATTGGGAGAGCATCATCACAGTGGGAGCAATGTAATCGAGTCGGAACGAGAGCCAGGCCATGTAAGACCATTGGACTAGCCCCTGAACTTCCCACGGCTGGACGAGATTCAAATTCCACTTGTTGTAGTGAGCCACGACTTCCACCACTAGTGCGCCGATTGAGATAGCGAGAAACGCTTTAATAAAGTTGTATAGCTTGCCTCTACTTCTGGGCTCCATGTCCTGCTCTTCTACTTCGTCAGCTGAGGCCTCGGATTGGGAAACCCTCTTCTTGATGAATTTGAAAAGGGAATTGGATCCGACTGCGAGCCATGAGATGCAACTGAATGCTCTGTAGATTTTTAGCAGGATGGAGAAGGTGAACTGCTTGGGGCTCGCCGCTTTCTGCTTGTCGGCAGGAAGCAATGGCGAATCGTCGCCGGCGGTGGCGGCGTTGATTTGGACTACAGATAAGTTGTTTGGCTTCTCGATGGTGACAACCACCGTGCTTGGAGCCATCTTCTTGGAAAACAGGGGAGTACCCAGATCAGGATTTCTGGAATGAAGAATCGGGTCGGCCTTCGAATTCAGGTTTGCATTAAGGTATCGGTTTTCGGGTTCTCTGTCGGGTTTCGGGTTTACGAAACCGAAACCGACATGTGCTTCCTCGGGCCGAAACCGAAAAACCGAACCCACAGACAATTGATGGTGGTTCGGGTTCGGGTTAAACCGAAAACCCGAAACCGTTTTGACAGCCCTAGATTTAAATGGATTGGATTAGGTGGATATTTTTAATGGATTGATGGATTGGATTGAAATTGCCACCTCTAGTTCTGCAAGATCAACCATGTGTTGTGGTGGCTGCGCTTGCCGTGTAGTATGAGTGGATAACAAATGTGTTTCTGGTTGAATTGATGGCCATGCGGGATGCGGTGCATTGGAGTATGTCTAGATGCTCTGTTCCATGATTTTTGCAGGTGATGCTCAAGTGGTGCTCATGAAGGTTTGAGAGGGACAGCTTGAAGCTGCCCGTGGTGGGACGATTATTCAGGAGATTTGTGCACTTTGGAATTTCTTTGAGCGTTTGAGACTCGTTTTGTTGGACCTCACTATGATAGGGTTGTTCATTTAGTGGCAAAAATGCCCTTTTGTTGTTCCCTTCAATTCTAGGGTTTGATTTTGGTTCTTGGTTGTTTTCAAGAGCATTTATCGTTTCGCCAGGTAAAGATTATTGAGATGAAAAAACTAATAGCCAAGTTATTCTCATTCTTTCTAGATGCTTGACTTGATCCCTGTAGTAGAAATCTTCCCACCATAGTCCTTGGGTAAGTCAATTTATCCTTTTCTTCCTTGCTCGGAGCTTTCTCTCTCTATGCTTGAAGAAGAACTCTTCATTCTCTCTCTAGAACTCTCTCTTTTAAATTCAACTCATCCTCATTTATATAGCTCCCGATTGCATATATCACGGTCTCATATCACGCCTATGAAGTCTACAGTGAAACTGTGATCTCGGTGCGAGACGCACCGTTTCACTAACGAAGTTCATGGGTTGCTTGTTGACTTCACGGTTTGGAGATCGCGATCTTGGTAATGCATGTGAGCCACACGAAACATCCCAGAAGTGTGCAGACTTTACGGTTTGCTTGTCCACTTCATGGTCTGCCACCCGTGACGATAGCACCAAAACCGCGATCCTCGCACTTTCGTCCATGTTGCTCCCTTTTCGCCCTCTTTTATCCAAGTTTCAATCCCCATGATGACACAACACGAGCAAAACTAGCATAAAATAGCTCCAAGGACGATGCAAACCAAGACAAATAGTATAAGATAAGGGATATAAAAGTGTGTAATCTAACCTGGATCGTGTAGTAACTCCGGGTGTAAAACGTCATTGTGTTCCATCCAGGAGAAGCCAGTGCGTTACATCTTTATTTACAGCTTGTTAATAACAGCTTGTTAACCATAGTGGCTTCTACTTCTGTCCCATGCTAGGAACTTCAGTAGCTTCCTAGTTGAGGTTCTTAGGTTTCTGAAAGCGAGAAGGAGAGGTCCCCTCTATATCATGTCAAGTAATATATGGCCAAGAGGTCGAGCAAAGTGAGACATTAAGCTGTTGGAAGAGAGATTTGATCACAACCGAAACAAACTGTGCAATTGCACAACTGTAACAAATTCTCATGTAACCTATACAAGCCGTTGATTCAAGTTAGAGCATTTATCCTTTCACCAAGTAAAGATTATTGAGACGGAAAAAAATACAGATGCTTTCCAGCGCTCTCGTATGCATGAAACAGTAGCCTTCAAAAAGTTCTCGAGTGAAGAATATTCAATACTGAGCAGTGAGACTTTCTCCCCCCGTTTCTCAAGTCTATTCCCATAAGCCAAGTGCTAAAAATGTGAGTGTTTCCTGCGGGAGGCGGACAGCGGGATGTCAGTCCAGAGTAGCTATGACCGCATCAACAACCTCTTGGGTGGTACTATTCCCTCCTAAATCCTTGGTCCGGTGCTTGCCCTCAAAGATCACATGCTTGACAGCAGTCTCCAACCTATCAGCAAATGATGGGAACTGGAGATGTCTAAGCATCATAGCAGAAGACAGCAGCAGAGCAACTGGGTTTGCTTTCTTCTGTTCCGTTACTTTCTCGTTCCCTACATTTCCTGCCGACGCACCTTGCTCGAACACTGCGTGATCAGCTCCAACATTACCTGTAATACCAATGACCAACCAGCCGCAGGTTTTAATTCAATTGCAAGAAAAAGCACTATTCCCACGGTGAATTATGAAATGGGTACCCATATTCCATGGATATAGAAACATAATGGATAGGAGAAAAAAAAACCCCAAAGCATCATAACTAATCCAACCCATATCAGTTGGATTTGGTGGGACGCCCAATATTTAGGTTTTCCTGCCATTCAGTTTGATGTGATGAAAACCTGCGGCTTATAAGTGGCATGGAATAGTAAAGAGATGTATTTCCTAGGTCCCGTGGACTGACGAGGAAGAAATAAAATAACGTATTCATGCATGTTTTGCCAGAGCTGAATCGGAATATGCTATTTAAGAACAAAGTATATATAAGTAGATCGAGGTCCCTAGCACCACCATAAGATCAAATTGAAGATTCTGGTTCAGCTACTTTTTCAACTCTAATTATCCAAGTAGGTGAACTTTTCACAACACTCGTTATTGTGATTCTGATTATCAGGCAGCTAAAGTTGGTTGCTTGACCAATGACCAGTAACTCATCGCAACTTTTTATAATGGAATTAGCATAAAACAGACAGAAAAAACTAGAATCGAGTTACCTCCAGGCATCACTCCAGTACCACCAGCAATACCCGCAGCTGTATTTGCAACTAGATTTCCATAAAGATTAGGTGTGACCTACAAACACAAAGGAAAATCTTTATGATCTGCAGACCAGCAATAGCAGCCTCTAAAATCGACAGCTTGGAATAGATAAGAAAATGACTTGGCACATAACAAAAGTCTTCAATAGAAGATGCTTTGCCTCAAGGTTTGAACTCAGGTTACAGCGGACAACCACAAAGAAGTTGCCAACAGCATAGACCTCTAAGGACTTGGCATCAAATGTCATCAGTTTCGCTCTTATCTCATATCAACTGATCAAATTATGGTTGTATCAATGCATTACATAACATGTTCCTTCTTGCAAGATGATGAATAACTTAATTACATAAACTAAATAATAACTATTGGCAAATGATGTTAAAGGAAACCCAACTTTCTCGAAATATCTCAAAGCCACTCCTATGATATCAAGAATTCCAGACACTATGGGTTGGCCAGTTAAAGACAAGCCATCCTCCAGCCGTTCTTGATTATGTACGTGGGTTCTCACTCTCAGTGTGGACGGATCACTTCAGAGCATTTGGTAACAAGTCATTTTAGTTAATCCACAACACCATACTTCTATACCTAGTTACGAAAAGTTAATCCACAACTAAAACAAGAGGAATCTCTCTGCCTCTGAGGACTGGAGAAACAGCGATTCCTTACCATAACATCGAATTGCTCAGGCTTGGATACAAGCTGCATGCAGCAATTATCCACAATGATTTCGTTGTACTTGATGCCGGGATACTTGGTAGCAACCTCTCGGCAGGACTCCAAGAACAACCCATCAGCGAGCTTCATGATGTTGGCCTTGTGCACTGCAGTCACTTTCCTCCTGTTGTTCAGGTACGCATACTCGAAGGCATACTTGGCAATCCGCTCCGAGCAGAACTTCGTAATCACCTAGCGAACCACGTAGTATGAGATTCTAACAATGAACTCCAGTGAGGATTGACGAATTTTCCAATCGAGAAAAGGCAAAAGGAAATGCGATTCCGCGGTACCTTGAGGCTCTCGACGACGCCAGGGACGACCTCGTGCTCCAGGCCGGCGTATTCGCCTTCGGTGTTCTCTCTAATCACGACGATGTCGACATTCTCGTGGCGAGTGGGCAATCCAGGCAGATTGAAGCAATTCACTAGGGAAGCGTACAAATCAAGCTGTTTCCTCAGCTGGACGTTCAAAGAACTTACACCACCTCCCATGGGAGTGGCCAAACCTCCTTTCAAGCACACCTTGTTCTTCTTGATCGAGTCAATCACCTCCTGCGGCACCTTCGGCATATCCCCGTGGACGTCGTAGCGCTCGAAGTAGACAGGAGCGTGCATCGCCTCCATGACTTGCTCGACGGCGCCTGTGACGAGAGGACCAATTCCGTCGCCGGGAATCAAGGTGACGGCGCGTGGAGAGCCGTCTCCGGGACGGGGCATGTAGGTGACGGATCGGTGAGAGGTGAAGCGGGAGGAGCATGACGATGAGACGGCGGCGGAGGAGGAGAGAAGTTGCTTTAGAAGAGGTACGGATCTCTTCGCCATCTGCTCCAACATTGGTGCCGATGGATTACAAGGGTCGGAATTCGATAACGGAGAAAGCGGGTTGAGGTGGAAGGAAAAGGGACAAAGCGGGAAATTATTACAGCCGACCGACGCCAGAGGCTTCCGTCGATCAAGACTCGAAAGAGAGATCCCAATTTCACCGAAGGCGAAGCCGAGATAAGAGCGAAGGAAAGCGGAAGACCAAGCTGGAAACCACAATTAATTAGTTGACTGATTGACTCCTATATTTTCACTAGCTACGCTTCGCGTTGTCATTTTATTTTATATAAGTAACTAGTTCTCATTGTCCGCTATCCGCGCTGGGATTTGTGATACATGAGGTGAAATTACATTTTGTATTTTATGTGATCTTAAAATATGCATAACACTTCATCAATATATATATATATATATATATATTGGCTACTACGGTGCACTCATTTTTTTAAGTGCACTCAGTACACCCAACTCTAAAAGCGTCCATAATGCATCAAATTTTAAACTTTAATTAGTACTCTTAATATAATATGATGAAATGACATAGAATCATAACAAATCAATCCATTACCCAACCCCTTAACATTCAATTTTGAATCTCAACCCAAAATCCCAAATTGTAAACCTAAACCCTAACCCTAAATCCCTAAATCCTAAATCTTTCGAATTGAAGTAAATTTTGAATGATTTTTTTTTTCAAATTCATGTGCTTCTTGTTCATAATATCATAAGCAACAATTGATACCGTTTTGACATGAATCGCATGATCAGAATGACAATTATGAGGCGGGTGCACCGAATACGGTATATATAAAAAAAAACTAATGACACTTTTATTATGCTTTATAGCAAATGTGCTTTAAAGTATAACTTGAAATATAGATTGGAATATACTAATTTTTCTATGGTTTCCATCAATTTACAATAAAGCTAGTAATTTCATCAAGGCAAAACTAAAAAATTCAATACCTTTACCAACTAGAAGAAAGATACGCTGAAATCGAATAAGGAAAGATCCACGTAAAAGGCACATTAAAATACATATTAATATGAATTCTCAACAACAACAAAAAAAATATGCATCTTAATATGGTCTTTCCATTTCCATGTAGTACATTCCATGTAAAGTTAATTGGAAGCCAAAATTATAAACCAATTCAGCCCAAAAAAATTGGAAGCTTTCATAACCAAGAACTTTCCAAATTATATAAGCAAAACCGAAGAGTTTTCTGCTGGATTCAACTGGACTATAGAGATGACAGAAGGTTCCCTCCAAACCAAAATCCATCTTGGAACTTCTAATTGATCGACTATATACATTATAGAAGGTCCATTAAATAAATCAGTTACATGACCTATACTGGCAACATTTATTTAGGCACAAGTCTTCTGCTGGTTTGATACAAAAAAAGCCTTTAAATGGAGAAGAAAATATAACATGATTGTCGATAGTTGTTCTTTAGAGGCCACCTGTTTGCTTGATTATTCTGCCGCAAATTAACATGTATATTATCAAAACATGTCTTAATCACATAAAAAACATAGAGAAGAAGTCAACTTTTACTCCAGAGGAAGTGAAATAAAAAAATGAAGTAATGGTCTAATTGATGGTCGTCGGTAGCCATAATTGATGAAGGCAGGACAGATTTATTAAAACAACTACAACCAAGAAAATTTTAGACTGCTTACGAAGGGAAAATAGTAAGGAAGGCTTTCCAAAAGCACATAGGTTCTCTCATCGAGCAAATTAACCGTTGATAGCTATGACATCAGAAGATTTTTTTGAAACATGAATGATAAATTGGGTCTGGTAACCTTCTAAAGAGCCATCGGGAAAAAGAAAGAAAGAAATGGCTATGGGGAAATCAACCAAATAAGGACAGGGGAGAGTCTATATAATGAAGGGAAGAATTGTTGGGCAGAAAATACAGAGCTCGCAAACAACAGCTCAAAAGGACTGTGCAGAAAGATGGATGGGGAAGAGTACATGGGATGCCAGCAACATAAAAGATGAAAAACCCATGAATGTGGGATAGACCACGTACCTGATAAGCCGTTAATTGCACATGTTTTTACCCCTATTCTGGAGCCGTTTGAGATGGTAATTCTCGTGTTTTAGGCCGATTTCACGCTAGGTTGTGTTTGTTTGTGATATTTCAGGTCCTAGCAAGTGAATGAAGGTTTAGGAGCGAGTTCGGGGTCGATTGGACGAAGATCGGGCGCGAGGCAAGTCAAAAAGGAAGCCACACGGGCACACACAGAAACCACACGGCCGTGCAAGTGACCAATTTGGCCGTGTGGGATTGTGCGAGCCTTCACACGGCCAGCCCTGAAAGTCACACGGCCGTGTGAAGTTGCACTTTGGCCGTGTGGAATTCTGCGAGGCTTCACACGGCCAGGCTGGGTGATCTACACTGTCGTGTGGCCCTGGCCGTGTGGGAAGCCTGAAACTCAATTACTCGGAACGCGGCTTTTTGACCTCACACGGGCAACTAGGTATGACACACGGTCGTGTGGCCCTGCCTGTGTGAGTCGGGAATTTCTGGTTTTCACCCAATTTCGGGCTGCAAGTGAGAGAATCGGATTTTGAGAGCAAAAACAGAGCCCCAGAGAGAAAGTACGAAGAACACATCCTAGAAGCTATATTGGAGCTGGGTTTCATCAAATCAAGCTTGGAGATCGTCATAGGAGTGGAAATCATCATCCCAGAGCAGATTCTTCCCATTGATATGAGTATGACTGCTTTGTATTCTGTTTTCTCCTCTCTCTCTATGGAGTAGAACCCTTCTCTCATTTGGGTATGAAGAACCCTAGTTCTATGTGTTAGGGATTTGATTGTAATGACTTGGGATGATATTACTGCTTGGTTTTAATCGAATGATGCATGTTTATTGAGTCAATTGAAGTCTGATCAACTTTTCCTGATTTCTGCTGCAACCTGAGATAGATAGAATCTGATTAGGTTGTTAGAGCCTCATCATTCGGTAGTAGGAGATTGGTTATACGAGAGTTAGCCAGTTTACTGCTTTGTACTGGAATCCAATTCCAGTAGTGGAGTTCTGTGCTTATTGCTTCAGCTTTCTATCCTGGTGAAGACTAGTCGTCTGCCGGGTAGTTAGACTGAGAGGGCTTGGTCAGCTTAAGAGATTCCAAGCTACTGTCGGATCTTCCGCAGTCTAATCAACAGTAAATCAACCCAGGGAAATTACAATTGAAACCTAACTAAGGAGCTAGGGGGACTCATTCCCGAGTGACTCTTCTTTGCTTGAGAAAACCGCACCAATTCCTGCTTTCTTTCTGCTTTTGCTTAAACAACAATCACTTAACTTAGTTGGCTAGATAATAGATACTCACGGAGTAAGCAGTAGATCTAGACCCCTGGTTGATAATAGAACTTGCCATTTTACTGCATTCCTGGACTGCGATTACACTTGGTCGCAGTTTGGTGTTGTGTTTTGGCGTGTCAAGTTTTTGGCGCCGTTGCCGGGGATCCTCTAGGTTATTGGGGAAACGTGAAAGTCTGCTACTTTAGGTTTTTTCTTTTCTTTTCCACCCTTGCTTTTCACTTGGGTGTTATGTTTTTGTTGGTGCAACTCTGAAACATGGATCCTCATGGCTTCTCCAACCATTGGGGGTATCAACCACCATTCGTGTGGTATTACCCCGAGACTTCCTGGAGCAATCAAGGAGGAGAAGACTATGGATTCGGATGTCAGTACCAACCCCCCTACTACGGAGAACAACCAAACCCTTGGGAACCTCAAGGACAGTATCCTTTTCAAGAAGAGTTCCTGCCACAACCAGAGGGGCCATCTGAGTTGGAGTTAGCCATGGAGGCCTTCACGGGTCACTCTGCAGAGCCATGCTACACTTCACTGGAAGATCCGAACAAACAATTAAGGCTTCTCGTGGAGCAGTTTGCTCGAGACACTGAGAGATCATGCTCTAAGATGGATCTTCAAATCAAAGCCCTTGCCGCTTCCGATCCCTCATTTCTCCATGATATGGAGGAGACTGTTCAGCGCTCAGCGAAGCAAACAGAGTGGGTGGAGCAAGTTTGCTCACATCTTTCTCAAGATCACCTTTCTGCTACCACGCTAGAAGAGGTGGAGGATGACAAAGGCTACGGGGGCGTTGAGGAGCACACAGAAGTTATCACAGAGAACACCCATGATAGTCATGATCAGGAAAGTCCTTTGGTTGCAGATCAAACCTTTCCTCATTTATGCTCTAACATGTTGGGCCCGTGCGAGGAGATGCAAGATGATCCCATTGAAGAAATTTCTTGGCGACTTGCTCTCCAATCTGTTCTAGAAGAAGAAGAGCGAGCAAGGATGAGGAAGGAAGTTGTGGAGGATGAGGAAGAAAGAAAAGAAGAGGTAGTTCTTGATCTTTTTCAAGGGGAGAGACCACATTTTGAAGAAGGAAGGGGGGTTGAGGAAGCAATTGGCGTCCAGGCTGAGGATGAAGTTGAGGTGGAAGAGGCTTGCACCGGCCCTATGTTACATTTGATATCTCCACCAAACTTCGAGGAGCTGCTTGGCAAGGACCCATTTGCAGTGTCTCTTTGCCAGACCAAGACCACATCAACATCAATTCCTCTTGGTGGATGCGAAGGTGGTCAATCGAATATATCTTATCTGATTTGGGGAAGTGAGACAAGAGCAGACGCGAAGGAGAGGTCTCATGAGTGGAGACTTCATCTTCCTCAAGGCCACGAGCCATCTTCATCACCTATCACATCACCTGCTTGTGACTCGAGACTCCACATCATCGACGAGAACCTCAACTTCAAGGAGGTTCTAGGATGGACCAAAACTTAGGAGCCACCGTCTAGCTAAGACGTAAAAGAAGCGCTTGTGGGGAGGCAACCCCACCTAGGTTTGCATTTTCTTACCTTTTTCCTTTTGATTTTTTTTTGTGTTTTTTGAGTCTTGAGGGGTTGTTCACGAGTTGTACGTCGTTCTGGAGTGAAAACAGGTCAATTTCGGAGTTCTGGCAGCCCACACGACCAGTTGTGATTGTGACACGGCCGTGTGGAAATCCCCCCTGGCCGTGTGTGCTCTCGTCAAAAGTCACACGGCCAAATGTGCTTTTCGCACGGCCGAGTGGAAAATCCTCGGCCAGCCCGTGTCGGCCGACACGGGCAAATGTGTACCTCACACGGCCGTGTGAGCCTGGCCGTGTGGCCGAGCCACGGCTATAAACTCGGCCGACACGGCGACATCGATCTGGACAACCTTGGCGACGAGTAGGCTGTACTTGTCGCGCCTCAGTGTGTGTTTTGATTTAGACTTTTTCTGTTTGCTCCATGTGTTTGAGGAGCTTGAACTGAGTTTGTCGTGTGTTTTGTTTCTTTTCTTTTGTGGATTGTTTCTTTTGTGGCCATCTGGGCCAACTCTGATCCCTAACGAACATGTTCTAGTGTGTTCTTGATGTTCCCTTAGTGCAGAACTGTCCGTTCGTTCCATATGTCCCCCGCTGACTGGTCCACTTCCAGTCTCCCGCAGCATTTCAATCCGGTAACATCGTTCCCCTTCTTTATCCCTATGCTCCATTGAGGGCAATGTCATGCTTAAGTGTGGGGGGGTGCTTTGTATCGGTTGGAATGTATATACGTGTGCTTGGAGCCTAGTCCACTGTCCGAATCTCGAGATTTGAGGGCTCCAAGTACGGCTGTTTGATCATATTGGCACTGTGTTTTGATTGGTGAATTGAATGGTTTTAGGATTAATGCATGACAACTGGATGGTGATTAGGACAACCTATAATGATGACTGAGACGTGCAGTAGAATTGTGTAGGGTTCAGTTTTTCAACTGTTTGCTTACCAACTGTGACTTGGATTGATTACTTGTTCTTGACAGTCTCTTATGCATCTAGTTCAGGGAATCAGAATGAGAGATAGAGCATATAGGTAGCCATGTGAGATTTGAGCCTGCTCGTTTCTTTATTGTGCGATAGTTCCCCCTTCCATGATGTGTAGCATTCACGTTGTCATTAGCTCAGATGATGGAGGCATAAGATTAGCCCACGACCAAATTGACTGTCCTGGTGTGTCATACCCCCTAGTCAGCCCCTTTGAGCCGTGTGTTATCCTTTCTTTCGGTCTTCAATGAAAAGTCACCCTTTTGCATCTTTTAAAAGGTTCCACAGAGTGGTTTTTAAATGTTCTCTGCTGTTTCTGCTAAATGTAATGTGAGAGTTGGAGGTAGTTCTTAAAAAGTTGGGCAGGTATTTGAAAATGTGCAGAGGTGGTGGTTTTCTTAAGAAATGGAAAAAAAATGAAAGAAAAACAAAGAAAAAAATGAAAGCAAAAGAGAGCCACCACCAAAAATTTGAATAGTGCCCATTAAGTAGTGTTTCTTAGCAGTCTGGCTTAGAAATACTGGTATTTATGTGACCTCCTTCGCTCTTGTTCTCTGAAGAATTTGAGTAATGCAGAATAGCAGAAAGAAAGTACTGGTTTGATTGACTGTGAGTTTGTTGGGTTTGGAATTGTGGAACCTTGTGCTATGAATACTTCCACCACCTAAAAGGCATTTTCCCCCATGTCCACGACCCTAGCCAGTCATTTGAACCTGTGTCTAAGACCTCCTGATTAGTTAGTGATGACAACCATTTATGTGAACTCTAACCTTTAGAGGCTGTCATCATGGTGAAGAGATGTTAGGAATTGAGAGAATAAGTATGCGCATTTTTCGCATCAAATTGTCCTGACCCCACTGGTCGAGAGTGAGCGATTCATTTCCTTGTTCTTTACACTCTTTACCCGGTGAGGACCTAGATGGCTCGGTCTTGATTCTGATGTCTTGAGTTTTGTGCATGAGTTGACTGTCTTGAGTAAGTGGTTGAGTCAAGTCTATGTTGGTTGATGAACAGAAGGGAGACTCCTCCTTTACTCGATTTTGCTGCACTCGAATGTCTTCTGTGGTGGTTGTCCAGGTTGCTATTGAGGTTGTTCATGTGTTGATGTTTGAAAACCAGTATGATTCACGTGTTTCTGTGCCTATATGATTTGTCCCCAATGATGGTATGGTTGAAATGTGTAAGCTTACCTTGTGTCTGACTTGGTTTGCTTGGGGACAAGCAAACGGTTAAGTGTGGGGGAGTTTGATAAGCCGTTAATTGCACATGTTTTTACCCCTATTCTGGAGCCGTTCGAGATGGTAATTCTCGTGTTTTAGGCCGATTTCACGCTAGGTTGTGTTTGTTTGTGATATTTCAGGTCCTAGCAAGTGAATGAAGGTTTAGGAGCAAGTTCGGGGTCGATAAGACGAAGATCGGGCGCGAGGCAAGTCAAAAAGGAAGCCACACGGGCACACACAGAAGCCACACAGCCGTGCAAGTGACCAATTTGGCCGTGTGGGATTGTGCGAGCCTTCACACGGACAGCCCTGAAAGTCACACGGCCGTGTGAAGTTGCACTTTGGCCGTGTGGAATTCTGCGAGGCTTCACACGGCCAGGCTGGGTGATCTACACGGCCGTGTGGCCCTGGCCGTGTGGGAAGCCTGAAACTCAATTACTCGGAACGCGGCGTTTTGACCTCACACGGGCAACTGGGTATGACACACGGCCGTGTGGCCCTGCCCGTGTGAGTCGGGAATTTCTGGTTTTTACCCAATTTCGGGCTGCAAGTGAGAGAATCGGATTTTGAGAGCAAAAACAGAGCCCTAGAGAGAGAAAGTATGAAGAACACATCCTAGAAGCTATCTTGGAGCTGGGTTTCATCAAATCAAGCTTGGAGATCGTCATAGGAGTGGAAATCATCATCCCAGAGCAGATTCTTCCCATTGATATGAGTATGACTGCTTTGTATTCTGTTTTCCCCTCTCTCTCTCTATGGAGTAGAACCCTTCTCTCACTTGGGTATGAAGAACCCTAGTTCTATGTGTTAGGGATTTGATTGTAATGACTTGGGATGATATTACTGCTTGGTTTTAATGAAATGATGCATTTTATTGAGTCAATTGAAGTCTGATTAGCTTTTCCTGATTTCTGCTGCAACCTGAGATAGATAGAATCTGATTAGGTTGTTAGAGCCTCATCATTCGGTAGTAGGAGATTGGTTATACGAGAGCTAGCCAGTTTACTGCTTTGTACTGGAATCCAATTCCAGTAGTGGAGTTCTGTGCTTATTGCTTCAGCTTTCTATCCCGGTGAAGACTAGTCGTCTGCCGGGTAGTTAGACTGAGAGGGCTTGGTCAGCTTAAGAGATTCCAAGCTACTGTCGGATCTTCCGCAGTCTAATCAACAGTAAATCAACCCAGGGAAATTACAATTGAAACCTAACTAAGGAGCTAGGGGGACTCATTCCCGAGTGACTCTTCTTTGCTTGAGAAAACCGCACCAATTCATGCTTTCTTTCTGCTTTTGCTTAAACAATAATCACTTAACTTAGTTGGCTAGATAATAGATACTCACGGAGTAAGCAGTAGATCTAGACCCCGGGTTGATAATAGAACTTGCCATTTTACTGCATTCCCGGACTGCGATTACACTTGGTCGCAGTTTGGTGTTGTGTTATGGCGTGTCAGTACCTCAAGTGTTTCTTCCTTGTGCCTTACACCCAACAACATTTCCTGTCCATCAACACACCAGATGAACAAACCAAATGAATTAATCCAAATGGAGACACGATCATAGCAAAGAAAGGCTGAGATACATAAAGTTAGGACAAACCCATTAAAGAAACTATGTTTCCCTCCTCTAGGTGGAGCCGGGTCACCTTGCTCAGCTACAACGGCGGAGGATCCATCTGCAATAGATAAAGAATTCGACCAGGGGACCAAAGATAGAAAGCGACGCAGTGAGAGAGTTGGATAAAGTTAGGAAGAGATGGAGTGACATGTAACATAAGGAAAGTTGGATCTATGGGCAACCATCGGACCCCTGTCGACATTCTACGACCCCCATCTGGCCACTTCTTTCGCTAGTTGAGAAATCCTAGATAACTTTCACGAGAGTAAATCAGATGAATCAATTAGGTGAAAGTATGGGAGAGAGCGCACCCATGTTGAGAAACAGATTCACCAGCAAGAACAATTACCTGATGTTTAACCGCAACCTCTGGATCTGCCACTTCAGTCTTCTCTGACAATTCTCTTTGCCTTTCAACTTCATTCATCAACCTAGAGTTCCACTCTTCTTTGAGGGGCCAATGATAGAAATGTGAGAACCCTTATTTTAATCTGGAGAGGAATAGAAAGAGAGATATGAGTCATACTTGTGACCGAAAGAGAACTACATATAGAAAATAACAAAAGAGAGAGAGAATTACCAGTCTTGAGCGATCGTGCATGGAATCCGTAGATCCAAAGGTTCCTCGCTATAGAGAGATGGATCGTGGAAACAATAATAGTTTTTGACGGGCGGTCGGGAGCTATGCGGAGTAGAAAGTATTGAATCAAGCTAGTCAAAGGCCACTTGAAAAGGAAAGGAAGATCAGGAGCAAACAAGGAAAGAAGGCCGGAAATAAGAGAATAGATCAGATTAAGGAGATTTGGTACAACAGTGCAAATCAAATTAGAAGGTTGAGTCTCAAGAAAATCATCTATAATAAGGGAAGGAATTTGAATTACCAACGGTTACAATTCAGCCTATAAAAGGAGACCTGAAGAACAAGCAATGGTAACTTTTTCGGAGCATTCCACAATATATCCTCAATCAAGAGCATTCCACAAAAGCAGGAATGAACAGCTTCAGCCGGTTAAGGTTCAAAACACTACCGGATGCTTTAGATGTGGGAAAACTGGGCATATCAAGGCTGAATGTCCTCTAGTACGAAAAGAACGAGCCATGGCTGCAACATGGAGCTGCAGCGAAGATGAAGATGAAGAGGAAACAAGAGAAGAAAGTTACATGGCTATTGATGTTGAGAAACCATCAGAGGGACACAACTCAAACGAGGTAAAATCTTCTAACCATACTTATTTTAGAGATAGTGATTACTATAGTGATGATGATCAATTAGTGTCCACTATCAAGGAAATTCAGTTAGAGTTTGGAAATATTAAAGTAAAATATTCAAAATTAAAATTTGATTATGCCAAAATAAAAATTGAATATGATGAACTAAAGAAGGAGGCGTGCAGATTAAAAGAAGAATTAAAGGAAACAACTAAGAACGTTGAAGTCTTAGAAGATGAGAAATCGAGTCTCTTAGTAAAACTTCAAGACTCCTTAGAAGGAAATAAAATTGAACCTCTAAGAAAGAAATGTAATTCTTCCTTAAATGATTCCACTAATAGATGTTGTGAAAACATAGGATCAAATTCTTGTAGTAAAGGCAAGTCAAAGATTTATGAAGAGTCATTAAAAAATGAGAGGAATGGAACTTCTAGACAAAGATATAGAAACATTGAATGTTTCTATTGTCATAAGTTTGGGCACATTAGGCGAGTATGTAGGAAGAGAATACTAAATGAAAAATATATAAGATTTTGTTCTATCAAAGATCACAAACAAACTGTATCCAAGAAAGTCTGGATACAAAAACCCAAAACTGCATGACTGTTAATGGCGCAGGTTTGCTTCCAAGTGAGCATGGAGGCAACTGAATGGATACTAGATAGTGGATGCTCACACCATATGACAGGAAATCGAAACTTGTTCACCACACTCAAAGAAGGTAAAGGTGGTAAGGTATTTTTTGGTGACAATAATTCTGCGGAAATAATAGGAAGAGGTATATTAGGTTCAGATCCATGCATTGAGAATGTGATTCTAGTAAAAGGTCTTAAGCATAATTTATTTTCTCTTAGTCAATTGTGTGGTAAAGATAAGAGGATAATCTTTGAACATGATTGTTGCTACATTGAGTCATTAGTTGATAAGAAAGATGTTTTCATCGGGAGACGTAAAAGTAAGCTATATGTCATAAATCTAGATGATAAAGAAAGTTTTAAGATAACTTGTCTAATGTCATTAGAGAAAAATGATCAAATAGATTGGCATAGGAAGCTTGGACATGTGAGTATAGGGATTCTGTCTAAACTAAGTGATCTTGAGCTAGTTAAAGGCCTACCTAAGTTAAAAGGCAAAAAGGAGTTCTTTTGTGATGCTTGTGCTAAAGGAAAGCATACAAGGTCTAGCTTCAAGATTAAGACGGTAATATCTACAACGAGACCTCTTGAACTACTTCACCTTGATCTCTTCGGACCAACCAATGTGGTAAGCTATGGAGGTAAGTTGTATGCTTTCGTAATTGTAGATGACTATTCTCATTTCACTTGGGTAATGTTTCTAGCTAGCAAAAGTGAAGCCTTCCAAAATTTTGAGTCACTTACTAGGAAATTGGAAAATGAAAAACAATCTAAGGTTGCTAACATTAGAAGTGATCATGGTGGAGAATTTATCTCTGAAGAGTTTGAACTCTTCTGCAATAAGCTAGGAATAAGTCATAATTTTTCTGCTCCTCGAAGCAACAAAATGGAGTTGTGGAAAGGAAAAATCGAACTTTGATTGATATAGCTCGAACAATGTTACATGACTATGGTTTGCCAAAGTACTTTTGGGAAGAAGCCATAAATACTGCTTGCTATATTACTAATCGAGCATTGATCAGATCTGGAATTAAGAAGACTCCTTATGAGATTTGGAAAGGAAGAAAACTCAATATGCGTTACTTTCATCACTTTGGTTGCAAGTGCTTTGCATTAAACACCAATGATCCTCTTGGCAAGTTTGATACTAAATCCGAT